AATTCTTTTTTTTTTAATTGTAGTTAAATTAAGTTTAATTGTAGTTAAAATGTAAATAAAATTTACATTTTAATCTTTAAAAAATTTTTTTTCATCATGGATATTTTTTGGGGGGACATCAATTTTAATTAATTAATTTATTTATGTATTGGCCACACCACGTGGCATGCTGGGTCTTAGTTCCCTGAGCAGGGATTGAACCCTGCCCGCTTCAGTGGAAGCAGAGTCTTAACCACTGGACCGCTAGGGAAGTCCCACATTTTTAAATGTACAGTTTAACCATTTTTAAGTGTACAGTTCAGTAGTGTTAAGTATATTCACATTATTGTATAAAAGATCTCTAGAACTTTTTCATCTTATAAATCTGAAACTTTATTCTCATTAAACAACCCTTTTCTCCCTCCCCGCCCCCAGTAACAGCCTTCTACTTTCTGTTTCTGTGAATTTGACTACCTTAGGTACCTCATATAAGTGGAATCATACAGGATTTATTTTTTTGTGACTAGCTTATTTCATCTAACATAATGTCCTCAATGTTCATCCATGCAATGGCATGTGACAGGATTTCCTTTTTTTTTTCTTTTCAATTTTTTTAATTATGGTAAAATACACATCACATAAAAGTTACTATCATAACCACCTTTAAGTTCAGTGGTATTATGTACATTCATGTCATTGTGCAACCATCACCACCATTCATCTCCAGAACTCTTTTTTTGTCTTGCAGGACTGAAACTCTCTACCCATTAAACAGTAACTCCCCATTACCCCATCCCCCAGCTCCTAGCAACCACCATTCTACTTTCTGTTTTCTATGATTTTGACTACTCTCAGTACCTTATATAAGTGGAATCATACAGTATTTTGTTCTTTAGTAGCTGGCTTATTTCACTTAGCATAATGTCTTCAAAGTTCATTCAGATTGTAGCACGTTAGAATTTCCTTCCTATTTAAGGTTGAATAATACTCCATTGTATGTATATACCAAATTTTGTTTATCCATTTATCCATCAATGGATATTTGGGTTGCTTCCACCTCTTGGCTTTTGTGAATAGTGCCATTTGAACATGGATGTGCAAACAGCTCTTTGAGACCCTGGTTTTTCATTTTGGATATATTCCCTGAAGTGAGATTGCTCGATGATATGGTAGTTCTACTTTTAATTTTTTAAAAAGTGTGGGAACCTCCACACTGTTTCCCATAGCATTTGCACTATTTTATAATCCTGCCAACAGTGCACAAGGGTTCCAATTTCTCCACATCCTCGCCAATACTTGTTATTTTCTGGTTTTTGTTTTTTTGATAGCCATTCTAATGGATGTGAGGCATTATCACATAGTGGTTTTAATTTGCATTTCTCAATGATTAGTGACATTGAGCATGTTTTCATATGTCTGTTATCCATATTATATCATCTTTGGAGAAATGTCTCTTCAAGCCTTGTGCCCATTTTAAAATCAGATTGGTTGATTTTTTGTTGTTGTTGGGTTGTAGCAGTTCTTTATATACTCTGGATATTAACCCTTTATCAGATACATGATTGGCAATTATTTTCTCCCATTCCGTAGGTTGCCTTTTGACTCTGTTGATTGTGTCCGTTCATGCTTTAAAGTTTTTAAGTTTGATTTAGTCCCATTTGTTGATTTTTGTCTTTGTTTGTCGGTGCTTTTGGTGTCATATCCAAGAAATCAATGTCATGAAACTTTTTATGTTTAACTTTTTGAAGAACTGCCAGCCTCCATTCTTCTAACTTCCACAACAGCTGCACCATTTTACATTCCCGCCAGCACTACACAGGGTTCTAACTTCTCTACATCTTCACCAACATTTGTTATTTAGCCATCCAAGTGGGTGTGAAATGATAATCTCATTGTGGTTTTGATTTGCATTTCCTTAATGGCTAATGATGTGGAGCATCTTTTCATGTGCTTATTGGCCATTTGTGTATCTTCTTTGGAGAAATGTCTAATGAAATTCTTTTCCTATTTTTAAAGTTGGGCTGTTTGTCTTTTTATTATTCAGTTGCAGGAGTTTATGTATTCTGTATATAGGTTTCTTACTAGATACATGATTTGCAAAACTTTTCTTTCGTTCTGTGGGCTGTCTTTTCACTATCCTGATGGTGTCCTTTGAAGCCCAAAGATTTTTATTTGATGATGTCAGATTTACCAATCTTTTCTTTCACTGCTTGTGCTTTGATTGTCATCTCGAAGATGCCATTGTCTAATCCAAGGTCATGAAGTTATACCTGTTTACTTCTAAGAGTTTTGTAGTTTTAGCTCTTATCTTGAGGGCTTGATCCACTTTTGAGTTCATTTTTGTAAATGATGTGAAGGAGGGGTTAAAAGCCACTCTTTCCCTATTGAATTGTCTTGGTACCTGTGTTGAAAATCAGTTGACTATAACTGTGAGGTTTATTCCTGGACTGTCAGTTCAGTCCCACTCATTCTGTTCCATCGATCCATATGTTAGTTCTTATGCCAGTAGCACAAGGTCTTGATTTTTTGTTTCGTGTTCTTTGTGGTTTTTTTCTTTATAAATTAAGTATTTCATTGCTCATATATAGACATTCATTCAACTTTTGTTCATTGATCTTTTATCTAACCATCTCTTATTTTTTTTTACATCTTTATTGGAGTATAATTGCTTTACAATAGTGTTAACCATCTCTTATTAATTATAACTATTTTCCATAGATTATTTTGGGTTTCCCTTGTAGGTGATCATTATCTGTGAATTATGACAGGTTTGTTTCTTATTTTGCAATCTTTATTATTTTTTTAAAATTTATTTTATTTTGTTATCACACTGCCTGGAACTTTCAGAACCATGGTGAATAAAAGCCCTCAACAACAGACGTCTTTGTCTTAGTCTTGGTTTTAAAGGAAATGCATGTAACATTTCACGATTAAGTGTAAAGTTTGCTGTGGGCTTTCCATGGATATTCTTTCTCAGTCTAAAAATATTCTTTTCTCTTCCTGCTTGGCTTGGAGTTTTTATTCCTTAATGGAGGTTGAATGTTTTAAAATACTTTTTCTGTATCTATTGAGATGATCATTTTTTCCTTTAACTGTTAAGATAGTGGATTTTACTGGTCTGTTTTCTAACATTAACTCAGTATTTCATTCCTACAGTGAATTCAGCTTGGTCTTAATATATAATCTTTTTTGGTGTGTTAGCAGGATTCTATTTGCTTTTGTTCAGGCTCTTTGCATCTGTGATCATGCGTGAGTTTGTCATTTTTCCTCTCTCTTACTGTTCTTGATTGGTTTGTGATATACCAAGGTGTTATGCTGACTTCATAAAATGAGTTGAGGAGTATATCCTCTGTTCTCTAGAATAGTTCCTGTGAGATTGAAAATATCCATTCTTTGAATGTTCAACTTTTAGCTGATAGTTTACAATGGTAAGTAAAGAGACTACTTAACCTACAGGTATGGGATATATTTCTGACTCTGTGAAGTAAGGCTGCAAAAGGGGGTATTTGACTCATTGCATTTTAGCAGCTTGTTATTACTGTACTGTTAGCTAATCATAAGGTTACAGTGTAGCTGTAAGTTATTCATTTGATTCTAGCATAGAGTAATAAAGTTGTTTTTACACAGAAGAGCCATTGTATTGAGAGTTAGGGAGTGTATCTAATTTTGTGAATGCTTTTACCTTTTTTCCTACAATACAAACAGAAAGGCAATGTTTCCTGCATGTAGACTAATTAAATTTCTATTTATCTTACAGAAGTAATAGACCTTACTCATGATAGCAAAGATGATCTTCAGGCCGCCATTGCTTTGAGTCTGCTGGAGTCCCCCAAAATTCAAGCTGATGGAAGAGATCTTAACAGGTTATTGATTTAATTTATAGTCTTTGCTCTGCACATCAGTGTGTAGGTCAAAGGCAGTATCTCTGAAACAGTTCTGCCAAGCTTCTTTAATTGCACCTAAATGAAATTTCTTTCATGAGAAAATTTAAATTCACATTCGCTTACTTACTCCTTGGTTCACTTTTGAAAAAGCTAAATATGATAAGGGTCTTATTGCAGCCTGTGGTCTTTGAGTAGAAGCCTGCAAGGTTTTGTAGTTCATATTTGCTAGTGGGGAAAAAACTGTCTAGGGCAAATATCTGATAAATATGTATTCTCTTTATTAACTTTGAGCCTTTGTAAACTTTGAATGTTTTGTTGTTGGCTATTGAAAATGAAAGTTATCACTCAGCTGCCCTAGGACTAGGAGGATATATGTTTTGAATTGGTACTGATTTGGTGATTGTCTGGTATTGTTCACAGATACCCAGTTCCAGTGGTGCCCAGTCAGTTTCCAGACATGTTTATCCCCTCATACTGCCAAGTTGTTTCTTTCAGGGAAACATAGGGCCATGGTTTGTGTGCTAAGCAATTTCGAGGAGGCTCTTATCTTTAGCAGAGTGTCTCTCCTGCCTCTTTCAATGGCAAGGTCTGAGATAAGGCACTATTGTTGAAATGTAAAACTTTTAATATGGTAGCCATAAATAGTCTTGAGTCTCAACTCAGTTCCATCAGGGCCCTTGTTAGTAATAATCTCTGCTTTGGCAGGATTAACAACTCGATGTTTAAACCTTTTCACTTATGTTGCAACCTTATAGTTATTATATAGCCAGCGGTTACCCAGTAAATAGTTTATCTGGCATTTTGAGTTACCTGTGAAAGCTTACCTACATCCTCCATATAGTATATTGTTGTTTAACTCTTTTCTTTTTTGATGTGTGATATGTTGGCACAATATAGGATGCACGAAGCAACCTCTGCAGAAACTAAACGCTCAAAGAGAAAACGCTGTGAAGTCTGGGGAGAAAATCCCAATCCCAATGACTGGAGGCGAGTTGATGGTTGGCCCGTTGGGCTGAAAAATGTTGGCAATACATGTTGGTTTAGTGCTGTTATTCAGGTATGGTATTAAGAGACAACTGTGTCTTCTGGAAACGATTTTGTAATTTATTAAACTGAAATGTAAGAAACATAGCTTTAAAAAAAAGGAAACAGATAAATAAAACTGGAGGGTTTTCCCCATGGCATTATTGTGTTTTGGTTGCTTTCTTGTGTTTTGGACCTAGATGCTCTTGGGTCTAGCTTGGTCAGTACTGAAAACAGAATCTTCTGTGGTTATAAATAGGTTGAGGAGGTGTTTTGGTGAATGCTGTATTACAGCAGAGCAAGAGCTAATAAGGAGAAATCAGTCTTTGGGAGGCTATCATAAATGACCAGGCAGGAAGGAAATGATGATGGCCTGGAATAGAGAAGTGGCATAAGCCATGGAAGGGAGGAGTCAAAGCATTCACGAGGTATTTAGGAGATCAGATCTATAGGATTTGATAAGCAACTGGGTAGGGATATGTGCAGGAGGGGCTGAGAAAGACTGCAAGGTTTCTAGCTTGAGGTACCAGGTGGACGATAGTGCCATTTAACACTGGAGGAAGAATAATTTGCGTGAGTGTTAAACGGGGGATTTCAGTTCGCTTCATACATGCTGAGTTTGAGGGTCCACGTGGAGATACCGTGTAGGCAGTTATCTATGTGAATCTGTTGTTCAGTAAAAAAATCTGGGCTGCAGATATAGTTCTGGGAATCAGTAGCATGTAGATGGTGATAAAGCCAAGCTAGAGGATGAATTCGCCTGGGGAGCGTGTTGCCTCTTAAACTTAACGTGGCTGCCGTGCAGCACTTGATCCCGCCCTGCCAGCTTCTCCTTCACAGTACTTGACACCGACCCAGCTGCTTAGCCAAAAATGGAATCCTCCGTTTACACACATAAAATCCATGGGTTCCGTCAGCTTACTCTGTGCCTGGACTGTTTTAGCACTGGGGAAACAGCAGTGGATAAAACAAAGCCCTCACTCCCATGGAGTTTACTTGGAAAAGAGTGGGACCGACAGGAAACAAAATATATATCAGATGGCGGTAAGTGCTATAAAGATGAATGAACGGGGGCAAGAGGGGCTAGAAAGGGTTCAGCTAGAGAGGGAAGGGGTGCTGTTTATATAGGGGGGTTACGTATGGCCTTTCTGCTAAGGTGGGCATCTGAGTAGAGGCCTGACTTAGGCGAGGGAATGAGCCATGTAGTTCCATGAAGAATGTTTCATATAATTATATAGAGGACACTGCAGACAGGGAACACCAAGTTCAGAGACTCAGGTCAGGAGCTGAGAAATAGGGAGAAGGCTGGAATTGAGTGACCGAGGAGGGGGAACAGACGGCTGTGAGTGCAGGGAGGTGGTGGAGGCGGGGCGGGGGAGGGGGAGCTTGGGGTCGTGATGAGGGTTCAGGAAGCACGTGAGGTGGGAAAGTATTGGAAGGTTTGGAGCAGACAAGTGCTGCGATCCTACTTCCATTTTAAGAGGCTCACTGGCCTCTGCATTGAGAGTAGGATGTAGGAAGGTCTTGGGGAATGAGGGACACGAGTCAGTTCTTTCCTTTTGAGAGAGAGGGAGAGATTGAGATTGAGACCGAGACCCTTCCCTGCATTCACTTCCCTCCTGTGAGAGATGGTGAAAGGAGCGAGCCTATGGAGGGGATGACTGAGAAAGGCTTCTGAGAAAGCATGGGAGGACAGGACAGAGAGCAGGGCGTGTGGGGAGGGCTTGGCCTCCGACAGCAAGAGGGCAATAGGGTAACAGGGGAGAGGACAAGGAGGAAATGATGACTGCCAGTTAAAGTGGAAATAGTTCCTAGTAGTCGTTTTTTCCTCTGAAATAAGCAGCCATTTTTTGAGGCAGAGTGGAAGAGTGACAGAATGAGGTTTTAAAGGGAGTGAAAGTTTAAATGGTTGTTGTAAACAGCGGGAAACCAGTTGGCGCCAGAATACAGTGGTAGGATTTCTGAAAATGTGAAGGTCTACTTGAGGTTGTAGACCTTAAATGTATAGTGGTATCCACATGTCCTGTTTGCTCGGGACTTCTTCTCTTAGCAGTTCTCCAAAACGCTTAAGTGGAAAATTAAATTCATTTAAGTTGGAGGATTTGCTGGGTATGATGAAAGGACAAAAGAGCAGTTTGAGGGACTTCCCTGGTGGTACAGCGCAGTGGATGAGACTCCACGCTCCCAAAGCAGGGGGTCCGGGTTCAGTCCCTGGTCTGGGAACTAGATCGCACATGCATGCTGCAACTAGGAGTTCGCATACCATAACTAAGGAGCCTGCATGCTGCAACTAAGACCTGGTGCAACCAAATAAATAAATACATAAATAAATAAAAACTAAGAGATTGTTTCAAAAAAAGAGAGCAATTTGAGAATTTAATGAAAGATGGGTAGAGACCACGGAATCAAAGCTGGGGAGAGGGAGAAATGAAGACAGGAAGGGAGGACAGGAAAGAGGTCTGTTTGCTTGGGTTCCTGATGACGTCAAAGCACAGGTGTCCTGTGGGTCATTGAACAAATGAGCCAGAAGACAGGTTATGGTTCAAGAGGAGGTTTTTCTGAATTTGTGACCTGAGAAGCGGCAGTGTTTCCGGTATTGACATATCCTGGGTATGTAGAGATGGAGTGGAGGAATAGGTCATGAGACATAAGATGCTCATGGGAGCTGGGGGGTCCCTCGGCTGAACAAAAGTACCTGTGTTCCCTCAGAAAATGTGAATTGGACTCCTGCTGTGTGCCTAGCACTGTTCTAAGCCCTTGAGATATAGGAGTGAACCAAACCAAGACAGAGACTTGCCCTTAGGGATTTAGATTCTTGTGAGGCAAGACAGACAAGGAACAATAAATAGTTGAAATAGGAATCAATAAATAGTTGAAAAACTAACTAGTTAACTACATAGATGTTTATATAGTATGTTAAACTCTGGTCAGTGTGATAGAAAAGAGAGCAGCAGGGTATGGGAGATTGGAATTGCTGCAGGAGGGACGGGAGCAGGTTCCAACATAAACTACGATGTTAGGTTAGGCTGTGTGAGGGGATGAGATTGGAGCAGTTGCCCTGGACGCAGCAGGCGAGGGAGTGAGCCAGGCAACTGTCGGGGGAGAGCGTTCCATGTAGAAGGGGAAGCACCAAACAATGGCCACAAGGTGGGAGTGAGCTTGGCGTGTTCACAGGACATCAGAGTCCCGAGTGGCTGGAATGCTAGGAGCGGAGGCAAGGATCACTGGAGGTGGGGTTGGAGAGGTAACTTGTCTTTTGCTCTGAGTGAGATGGGGAGTCTTGAGGGTTCTGAGCAGAGGAGTAATGGACTCTGACTCGAGTTTTAAAAGGCTCCCTCGGGCCACTGTGAGGAGAGCAGAATGGAGGGGGCGCGGATACAAGTGGAGAGACCTATGAAGGGGGCCGCTGCAGTCATCACTGAGAGGCCGTGCTGCCCTGGACCAGGCTGGTAGCCGTGGAAATAGAGAAGAGGTTGGAATCTTGATTTATTCCCAAGGCGGAGCTGACAGGATGTCCTGTGGATTGGGTACTGACCAAAGTCACCTAGTAAGGATGGCAGACTTGGGATGGCAGAGCTCTCACCATATGACAGTCTTCGGTGAATCAGGTGCTTTATTTTGGTTACATTAGAAAGATAGTTAGAAGGAGCTGTGTGGAGAGTGGGCTGGTACAGAGGAAGTTCTAGAGGCAGGGAGACGATGTGCCGTGATCCAGGTGGGCAGTGATGGGAGTTTGATTAGAGCAGGTGATAGGGACTGGTAGAGAGGAGGTGGTTATGAATAAAATAGCGCCCCAGAGGCAGAGTGCAAGGGACTTCTTACTGGATGTAAATGGTTGATAAAGGGAAAGGAGACAACGATTATTCTGAAGTTCTAAACTTTGATGCCTGGAGGAGGAGGATGTAATTAGTGATACAGAGACTACAGGAGAAGAAGCAGATGTTGGAGGATCAAGTTGATATTGGTTTGGGAAATGAGTAACATCAGCTCACACTGTTGTAATTTTTAAGAATAATAGCATCTTTGGGAAAAGCCAGATTTTGGTGAAGGTGAGGAAGTGGAGTGAAGGGACTTGAGAACGTAAGGCCATTTTTCTCAAGGTAGAACAGAAGTGGTGGAACATGTTACGGGATAGTCAGCCGAGTAGGGGTGAAACCAGGAGGAATGGAGATGCGCTAGGTAGACATGGGAGGTGGGAAGAGAAGAGATGGGGCTACTTGTAGAGCTGAGCATCCCAGCCCCGGCTCCAGATAGAACTTTGGTATCACATCCTAACCCGACTTAAGTTCCCAGTCCAGGTGTACATTCCTCCTATTGGCTGAATCCCGGTAGAGCTTGTCGTGGAGTGGGGGAAGTCGGAGGCTTATAGTCCACCCAGGATGCTGCTTCAAGAGTTCCAGTCTGTGGGCTGGAGGGCTTTTCATCTGAGGATTATGTTGGGATGAGGAGTTATATTCATACAAGAGGTTTTTTTTTTTTTTTTTTTTTTTGCTGTACGCGGGCCTCTCACTGTTGTGGCCTCTCCCGTTGTGGAGCATAGGCTCCGGATGCGCAGACTCAGCGGCCATGGCTTATGGACCCAGCCGCTCCGCGTCATGTGGGATCCTCCCGGACCGGGGCACAAACCCGTGTTCCCTGCATCGGCAGGGGGACTCCCAACCACTGCGCCACCAGGGAAGCCCATACAAGAGATTTTTTAAAACATTAACTTTCAAAAGATATTCGTAGTTGGAAAAATGTATGATTTACAAACAGTAAAAAGGAATTCCTTTCCCTAATTCTGCCAGCCAGAGATATCTGTTAAAATTTCTTAAAATACAGTATTTAAGGCAAAGAGTGGCGAATAGTAAAGCTTTAGAAAGAAATGTTTCAAATCCCTGTGCTATTAAGTCCCCATTGTACCCATCGCCCGTCATACCACCCCCTTCACACAGATACAACCACAGGTGTATGTAACCCTAAACAGTGTATCATGTTGTTTTATATGATTAAACTTCTTATGAGCAATATAATACTCTATCCTTCTACACCTTTTTCTCACACAGAATATTTCTGAGATACATCTATGTTGATACATGTAGCTCTTGATCACTCATTTTTACTGTGTAGTTGTCCTTTTATGAAAACATTGTTTCTACAGTATTATTTTAATGACTATGTAATAATCTGTTATACAGATGTACTATAGTTGATTTAATCTTTTCCTGCTAGCCATTAGGTTTTTTCTAGTTTTTTCCTAAAAAGGATTAACATTCTTTTGGCGAAATTTTTATGTGTAGCCATTATTATTTCCTTAGACATAGTAGAATTACTAGGTTGACAGTTATACATACTTTTAAGGTAAAAAATATTTTTTTGCTGCAGTTATTTTGAAAGAAAGGCTATTAATCCATTTCTTTATTTCAGTCTCTGTTTCAATTGCCTGAATTCCGAAGACTTGTCCTCAGCTATAGCCTACCACAGAACGTACTTGAAAATTGTCCAAGTCACACGGTAAATTGGCGTCAAGGAATCTTCACTGTTGTTTAGTCCCATTCTTCCCAAAGGCCTTTTAATTTTGGTTAAAGCTGGTTACTGTGATGCTCTTTGGCTTGTGCAACATTTGTTTTCATTTCCAAATGGCTCTTGTTCTTTCTTTGTGACAAGAAATAATGTAAAGTTAAGCAGGAATAAAATTAGGAAAACAGTTCTAAGAAAGTGGCAGGTCACCCTGATGGCCTCAGCTTTTCTGCCTCTGGGTGGGAGATTTAGAAATCCCTGTCTGTTTGCGCCTTCTTCAGGCTCCTTTAGTCGCTTGCCCTGAGGGATGCAGAGTGGATGACATGATGCCGGGAGGCCTGGGCCTTCTTAGAAGAGTCTTTAGTCCATTCTTGCCAAAGGATATAGCCTCCTGCTGAGATCTAACCCTTCCCAGGATTTCCCTTGGTGATGCCTTTCCCAAAAGGAGGGATGGCAACGGTTTTAGAAAATAAACACTTTTGCTTTCTGACATTATTCTCTCTCTGGCTTCTACATAGATATTCTCGAGTTTAGGGCAGTCCCCTACACAGACTTTATCAGAGTACCTATAACAGTTTGAGACCTGATTCCAATCTAGAACTTCGTAAATATAAATTAGAGATTGTTGACCACTTTTTTCTTTATGTGTTCAAATTTTCCAAATATGAGGTTATAAGAGTACACATCGCTATCTTTCCTGCAGGAAAAGAGAAATATCGTGTTTATGCAGGAGCTTCAGTATTTGTTTGCTCTGATGATGGGATCAAATCGCAAGTTTGTAGACCCTTCAGCAGCCCTGGACCTCTTAAAGGGAGCATTCCGATCGCCTGAGGAGCAGCAGGTACAGGAAGCCCATAGTCCTCATTCTTTCCCTCGACTCTGGAGTTTGCAGTGATGCCTTGTTACTACTACTGTGATGTTGCCTTGTTTCAGCTGTGTAATAAGCTACGAATGTGACTATGCAGGACTCCGGGTGCCTGCTTTTGCCCTTTGTAGTGCCTAAGGAACAAGTAAAACAAAGTGTGTGCATGTACGTGTTGTGTGGGGGAGGCTGGCTGTTTTAAAGGAAAGAAGAAAAATTAGTAGAAAGAATAGAATTTCCCAGGGGCTGTTGAAGTAGAAAGGAGGAGATTGGAAAATATCTCAGTAAATCATGGCAGAGGGTCACCGAGAAAAGCAAAGTCTGTCCTTTGTCTGCACCTTTGTCTTGGGATGGCCCAAATAGAAATCCTATTTTTAAAACGATCTAAACCTGAGTTCAGTAGCTTTTCTGAGCAGTCTTTCTCTTCTAGACTCTAGTACGTTCCTTTCCCTACCTCTTATTCAGATCAAAGCTATCACTATTAGAGCAGCTGCTTCTTCATAAAAGTACTTTTTTTATCTATTTGTCTAAAGGTCCTGCAGTTCTACAAAATTCTCAAAACATTTCATAAAGGTTTCCTTTCTCCATTCAGATCTCATATTGTTCTAGAGAACTTCAGTCTGTTCTTTGGACCTTTTTTTCAAGGCCTAACTGGAAGATTTTGTTTGTTAGTTTGTTACAAATAGATGTGGCTGGAAGGGGTAGTGTTCCCATTTCCTTCTAATCAGAAATCGCCCAGTGGGTCTTGTGTGTTGTCTGCAGCAGCTGGGTTCCAATGTTCCTTGTATCTTCACGATATTTGGACCTGAAAAAGAAATCCTTTGTAGTAATAGAATCTTAATCATCGGTGGGATAAGGGCATATTTTCATTTCCCTAAGTATACTGTTGGGTCTAACTCATGCAATTTGTGCGTCTGTTACAGCAAGATGTGAGTGAATTCACACACAAGCTCCTGGATTGGCTAGAGGACGCATTCCAGCTAGCTGTTAATGTTAAGTGAGTGTTGAGGATTTGTTTGTACATCCTTCCTACTCACAGCGGGCCAGTGAGAATTATGATTTGGGGGGAAATTATTCTTCTCAAGTAGAAATTGCTGATTTTTACCAAACCCTGTGGGGTAACCACTCATATTTGTCATTGTTTATCCCCCTTGCCTTTGGTTTTTCCCCCTGTAGATAATCATATTAATCTGTAACTTTTTTTCTAAAAGGGTCATAACTATTAACTTTTTAAAAGTCATCACCTGTGCTGTAAAAGTATTGAAAGATACAAATCAATCCTTGATGTGAGAATGGAGGTATAATATGAATACATTGAATTTAATTATTTCAGTCACTGACAGAAGTAAAATTCAAAGCAAAGAATATAAATAGCCCTTGCCAAATACAGATGCAGAGATACTTGCTTCCTAAGTTTTTTTTAAACTCATAAAACAGCTTTCCAAATAGCATCTTACATAGTTAATTTAAGATAGGCTTATAGAAATAAGCTGTTTTCATTCCATCTCTATTGTGCCACCAGGAAAGCATTTTCATATTCATTTGGAAAACTGAACAAGAGGGTTCATTCTTACCTTTATATGACTTCTATACCTTATATATTTCTGTCACTGGATATAGATGTATATATTGAATGTACACACACACATGTATTTGCATGTATGACTCCCCTATTAGACTTGCAGTTCTGTAAGGCCAGGGATCATGCCTGTATTGCCTTTGTGTCTCCAGAATTTGGTACAGTGCTGGGTATATACTTGTTTAATGAGGGTTTTTTTTGTTTTTTAATTTTCTTTAGCATCTTTATTGGAGTATAATGGCTTTACAATGGTGTGTTAGTTTCTGCTTTATAACAAAGTGAATCAGCTGTGCATATACATATATCCCCATATCGCCTCCCTCTTGCGTCTCCCTCCCACCCTCCCTATCCCACCCCTCTAGGTGGTCACAAAGCACCGAGCTGATCTCCCTGTGCTGTGCGGCGGCTTCCCACTAGCTATCTATTTTGGTAGTATATATAAGTCCATGCCACTCTCTCACTTCGTCCCAGCTTACCCTTCCCCCTCCCCGTGTCCTCAAGTCCATTCTCTACATCTGCATCTTTATTCCTGTCCTGCCCCTAGGTTCTTCAGAACCATTTTATTTTTTTCTTTAGATTCCATATATAATGTGTTACCATATGGTATTTGTTTTTCTCTTTCTGACTTGCTTCAGTGTATGACAGACTCTAGGTCCATCCACCTCACTACAAATAACTCAATTTCGTTTCTTTTTATGGGTGAGTAATATTCCATTGTATATATGTGTCACATCTTCTTTATCCATTCATCTGTCGATGGACACTTAGGTTGCTTCCATGCCCTGGCTATTCAATGAGTTTTTGAACTGAACTAATCCGTTACTTATTTTAGAGCATACTTAGATCTTTGAGGGTTGATGAAAATGTATTATTTTTGCTTTTGAATGCTGGTTTGGCTTAATGTATTGCTTATCTGATCCAAATGATACAGAATTGTTTCCTTGTTTTAAAAGCAGCAATCCCAGGAACAAATCTGAAAATCCAATGGTGCAGCTATTCTACGGTACTTTCCTCACTGAAGGGATTCATGAAGGTAAATTCTCTGCTCTAAATGTTAATTCTAGACTTGTGACCACATCTGTATTACTGTGAAATGGCTTGAGAGTCAGACAAATGCAGGCCTGGATACTGGTTCTGCCTCTTAGTATGTGTGTGATCGTGGACAAATTACATGAGATCCTGGATCCTCAGTCTCTTCATCTGTAGAACGGGCACAGTGTTCGTCTCAGAGTTGCTATATTGAATTGTGTAATATTTGCACAGCCTAAATCTGGTATTAATGTCAGACACACACTGACGTTAATCAGTTTTCTCTGTTGTTTTATCTAATCTCAAGGTTTCATTGAGTCAGGCTGCCAAAAGTGTGTCTACTCTAGGGGCTTATCTAAGCTGCGTGTTGGACACATGGCCAATCATTCTCCATCTAACACCTGTCTTCTTTTACCCCTCTGATAGCCTTTGTAAAACAGTCTAATCCAGGGACTTCCCTGGTGGTCCAGAGGTTAAGACTCTGTGCTTCCACTGCAGGGGGCATCGGTTCAATCCCTGGTCAGGGAACTAAGATTCTGCATGCCATGCCGTGTGGCCAAAAAAAAAAAAAAATATCCAATCCACCGTCACTCCCAAAAAACAGCATTTCTTGATATCATATAACTAGTCAAGTGTTCGAACGCCCAATTTGTTTTACAATTTCATGTGTATATAAATATATAATTTTACATATGTAAAAATAAATACACTTCCCCATATGTATACTTTTTTACAGTTTGTTTTAATCAGGATGCAAATGTGGTTCATTTATGATTGGTCTTTTAAGTTCTTTTCAGAATCTGCAGACCGTCCCTTCCCTCCATTCTTTCTTCCTTGAAATACATTTTTTAAGAAATTAGGTTGTTTGTTCTCTTATATTCTCTACAGTCTAAAATTTTGCTGCTTGCGTATCTGTGATATAGTTTAACATGTTCCTCTTTGCTCCTCTTTTTGTAACTTGATAGTTGGATCTAGAGTTTGACCAGATTCAGGTAAGGCTTTTTAATTAGTCAAGACTAACTCACAGGTGGTGGGACAGTCTTTGACCAGGAGGCATAGTTGGTTGTCTTTCTTTTTGTGATGTTAGCAGTTGTTAATGATCTATGCCTGGATCCGCTGGTTCATTAGAGGTGGCCATCCCGGCTAAGGATACTTGTAACCAGTTCTCAGCAAGTTGCTGAATTAAGAAGATACTGTCTGTGTGGTGCCAGGAAAAAAGCTTTTGATAGCAGTAGTGATGTCTTTTAAAAAGCAATCTGTTTCTTTGCCTAGGGAAGCCCTTTTGTAACAATGAGACCTTCGGCCAGTATCCCCTTCAGGTAAATGGTTATCGCAACTTAGACGAATGTTTGGAAGGGGCCATGGTGGAGGGTGACATTGAGCTGCTTCCTTCCGATCATTCAGTGAAATATGGACAAGAGGTGAGTTGGATATTTTTATTTGCTTTGCCAAGACAAAGCCAGTTAAATAGGACTGAGCTTTTGGGCAAACTGTTTTCACATCACATATTAAATAACTTTACACTAACAGGACTTGAACTAGTCTGAAGTCTGTCATGAGTTGATAAGAGTTAGTGAGTCTTAGTGTTTGATGAATAAATTCTTGTATGAATTTGAGTTAATCGTATAAAGGTTGTATGCTGCTTCTGACGTTTTAAGTATGATCAAGTTTCTCTCTTTCTGTTGAAGCCTACCTGTACCTGAGTAGGGAGAACCACTGCCTCCATATTTTCGGAGGGTAAAAGTACAGTGATTAACTCCTATGGTATGCCATTTAGAATATTTTCCCTATTATAGTGTTTACTTTTCTCAGTTGTAAATTCTGCCTTTGCTTTAAAATTTTTTATATGTAAGATTCATTTATTTATTTTTGTGGGTTGGAAAGAAAGGGGGAATTACAGGGCAAGCAAGGGTAATTAATATCTCAAAGTTCCCGTTAAGAATTAGTTACATTGTAGCATAATTGCCAACACCACACAGCTTGGATTATTCTCCTTTCATCATACATTTTGAACAGAATTGTGCCTTATATGAGTCCAACTCAGTAATTACTTATAAGGGAAAGAAAATCTTTCTTGAATTAAATAGGGAGCCTGACTTGAGCCTTGTTAAAAGTGTATTAGCTGTAGAGCAGTGTTGGAACTGGGAGAGAGCTACTGCCTCCCTAGCTTTCCAAGGAAAGTATGAATTCCTGATTGGGAGGCATATCATCTGTGCCATCTGTGCAGAGCTGATGCTTGCTCTTACAAAAGGCAAGGAGTGTTCATTAGCGACTTAGACCTCTGGAGACCTCTATTCAAGAATGGGACCTCTCTATTTAAAAAAAAAAGAAGAAAATTGTGCCTATTTAGGTATAGCTCTGAGGTGGCCAGACAGGCTGTCTGGATTCACCTCATGCTGACAAGGGTATGGGGAGGGAATATAGCTATTTGCACCTTTGGTAAAGGGAACATTTTAAAGCTGTTCATACAGACCTCTGGCATACAGGTGAATTGAACAGAAATGCCTTTCCGGGTTTAGCTTTTTCCTCATCCACTATCAGTGACAGTTGAGATCTTCTTTATATTTCAGTGCTTTCTGTTCTTGAAACTCAAGGCAACATTATAGGTTGATTTGACTAGTCCTTTGTGAGATCTGTAAATTCTTGGAATCCAGAGATTTTCTCAGAAACTTCAGAACTCATAATCATGAAGCTATTTCAAGTTTCCTTTTTAGAAATAAAGGGGATTCAAATTATGGTTAATAGACTGTAAATAGTATATAGTATATGTACACACATTAATCTTTCTGGACAATTTCTAATTCTTTGGTTAGGCTAGCCGTTTTCTCCAGGTTTTAAACCTCTTGAATACTGATGGTGCAGTGAATGATGTGGAGATTCTTGGTGAAGTTCACATATTTAAGGGTCGTCATGTCTGAGGATGATAGTTGAGTTAAAATGTTGTTCACTGGCTTGTAAATTTGGAGTCTTGAGAAGTGTTTAACCATATTCTCTAAGAAGGCATGATTCTAAGTGGTCATTTTACTGTTTGGAGTAAAAAAAAAAAAAGAACTCTAGTATGAGTTTCATTACCAAAGGAAGAAAGTCTGATGAGGGACAGTTTAAATCTGGCTATTGCTAGTTCCTAAAATTAACTTTTCTCTCCCGCATTTCTACGCCTGACATAGCGTTGGTTTACAAAACTACCTCCAGTGTTGACCTTTGAACTCTCAAGATTTGAGTTCAATCAGTCCCTCGGTCAGCCAGAGAAAATTCACAATAAACTGGAATTTCCTCAGATCATTTATATGGACAGGTGAGTTCTGTGGTTGATTGTCTTCTTAATGTGTTGTAGCAGTAGAAGTGAGCATATACTAAGTGTATTGTACATAGGACTCACCTGGAGCTCTTGATAATATACATATTTAGATTCAGTGGATCTAGGTTGCGACCTAAGAGTTTGCATTTCTAAGAAGCTCTCAGGGCAATGCTGTTTGATGCTTCTGATCTCTGGACCACAATTTGAGTAGCTAGGCTTCAGGTGAAAGCCCTGCTGTCTGGTGAACAGTATCTGGAGTAGCTGCTGTGTATTTCTTGCTCATTTAATACTATTTGTATTCCTGAAAAAAGAAAAAAATCCTAGACAGACTTACATTATAGAATTTTAATCTTCTTAACGTCTGTTTTATTGACATATAGTTTACATACAAAGAAATGTTACCGTTCTTAGGTGTACAGCTGATGAATTTCAACGAATGTATACAGCCAAGTAATACCACCATCGCCCGGAAGGTGATATAGATATAGAACATTTCCATCACCCAGAAGGTTCCCTCGTGCCCCTTTGCAGTCAGTCCCTTCCCTCCACCTTCAGGCAACCACTTGTTTTCTGGCCCAGTACTTTTGTCATTTTTAGAATGTCATAATTAGGGACATTAATATTCAGTATGAGCCCTCTTGTGGCCGTCATCTTTCACTTAGAATAATGTATTTGGAATTCATCCATGTTGTTGCATATATCAGTGATTTCTTTCTTAATGTTATTGAGTAGTATTACATTGTATGGAGGTACCACAGTATTTTTTCCATCAACTAGTTGATGGACATTTCAGATGTATCCAGTTTTAGGCTGTTATGAATAAAGCTGCTGTGAACTTTCACAAAGAAGTCTTGGTGTGGTTTTTAGTGCTTCTGGGTAAAATACCTGGGAGTGAGATTGCTGTTGTATGAAAAGTATATTTTTAACTTTATAAGAAATTTCCAAACTGTTTTCTAAAGTGGCTGTACAGTTTTGCGTTCCTATCAGCAGTGTATGAGAGTTACATTTGCTCCAAATCCTCAACGATACTTGGAATTATCGGTCTTTTAAGTTTTAGCCATTCTCTTGGGTTTGTAGTATTTTATTTTTCTTTTGATTTATAGTTCCCTGATAACTAACAATGTTGACCGTATTTTCATGTGCTTAATTAATGGTCATTTGTATATTTTCTTAGGTGAAGTGTCTGTTCATATCTTTTGTCCACTTTTTAATTTGGTTGGTTGTGTTCATACTGAGTTGTAAGAGTTCTTTATATATTTTAGATACAAATCCAAATATTTTCTAACTCTACTTGTCTCTTCCATTTCTTTACTGGTATTTTTAGAAGAGTAGGGGTTTTTGGTTTTGATGAAGTCTAATGTATCAAGTGCCCTTTTATAGTTTGTGTTTTTTTGTGTTCTAATTAAGAAATCTGCCAACCCAAGGTCACAAAGGTTTTCTTCGATATTTTCCCAGAAATTTTGTAATTTTAACTCTTATGTTTATGTCTATGACCCATTTAGAGTTCATTTTCATATATGGTATGAGGTAAGGGGATTTTTTTTGCAGGCTGCGTAAGGCGGCATGCGGATGTCCAGTTATTCCAGCATCATTTGCTGAAAAGACTCTCTTTTCCCCCATTGAATTACCTTGGTACTTTTTTCAAAAATTAGTTGAACTTGTATTTGTAGGCCTTTTTCTGGAGGTTTTATTCTGTCTGTTGTATAATCTTATGCCAGTGCTACATTGTCTTGACTACTGTGATTTTTTTTTTTTAACATCTTTATTGGAATATAATTGCTTTACAATGGTGTGTTAGTTTCTGCTTTATAACAAAGTGAATCAGTTATACATATGTTCCCATATCTCTTCCCTCTTGCGTCTCCCTCTCTCCCACCCTCCCTATCCCACCCTTCTAGGTGGTCACAAACCACCTGACTACTGTGATTTTATTGTAAATCTTGACATCAGATAGTGTAAACCTCCCACTTTGCTATTCTTTTTCAAAAATTGTTTGGGCTATTCTGATCCATTTCTATCTAAATATTAGAAGCAGCTTGTCAAAACCCCTAATAGCTATTAGGATTTTGACTGGGACTGTGTTGAACCTATAGATCAATTTCGGGAAATTGACATCTTAACAGTTTTTAGTCCTTCAATCTATGAATATGGTATAGCTCCATTTACTTGAGTCTTTGCTAATTTCTCTCAACAGTGATTTATAATTTTTTGTGTACAGTTCTTGAACATATCCGATTGTTTATCCCTAAATAATTATTGCTTTTGATGTTATTAAAAGGCTTTTTAAAAAACTTTACTTTTTGTTTGTTCTTTACAAGTATACAGAAATGCAATAGATTTTTTTTCCTCTTTCTTTTTAAATTGACTTTGCATCTTTTGACCTTACTAAGAAATTCACTTATTAGTTCTGATGCATTTTCGTAGATTCCTTGACTTTTCCTATGTAGATGATCATGTTATCTGCAACTAAAGGCAGCTTTACTTCTTCCTTTTCTATCTGTATGACTTTTACTTCTTTTTTTTACCTTACTGCACTGGCTATGCCTCCAGTAAAACATTGAATAGAAGAGGCAAGAGTGGGCATTCTTGGATTGTTCCTGATACTAGGGGAAGGCTTTCAGTCTTTCACCATTAAATATGATGTTAGCTCTGTGTTTTCATAGATATCCTTTGTCTGATTAAGGCAGTTTCCTTGTATCCCAAGTTTGCTGAAACTTTGTGTCATTAATGTTTTTAAATATAAATTGTGTTTGTGGGATTATTATTTGCTCAGGTACATGTACAGGAGCAAAGAGCTTGTTCGAAGTAAAAGAGAGTGTATTCGAAAGTTGAAAGAGGAAATAAAAGTTCTGCAGCAAAAACTGGAAAGGTAAGTCATAGACAGCTTTGTACTTAGAAATGTGAAAGATAGAGTAGGATATTCAAATCGGATAATTTGCTTTTATCTAAAAATTCAGAGTTTTAAGTATTAACTAGTGTTATTTTATAAAATAGATAAGAAAAATGTGTTTCTAAGTGTGAAACTGTCTTTAAGATGTGCAATAGTAGTCCCAGGGAACATTAGTGTCCCAAGTCACACAATTGGCAGTGTACTGAAGGGCACCCAAGTTCTGATTTCACAGCTCTTTACTTTTTCTGCTCTCCTTGCCGTCTTTTTCACAAACACAGGAGAGGTGACTGCCACAAAACTCTAGTCGCTTTGTCTTGGGAAAGCAGTTTTGAGGTGCCTGGGGAAGGTAAAACAATGGTGTTCTCTCTAGAGTGGTGCTGACTCAAACTGAAGGCTTGTATTTGTGACACATACCAAGCCCTTTCTCCTGTGGAGGGATCTTTCCCTTTTTGTTCATCTGTTCTGCAAGGAATGTTTCTGTGGACTCGCCACGTGACTTCTTAAGGAGGAGTCATTGTCATTTCTCTCTAGTAGAAGAGAGCCCACTGATTTAATGTGCAGGAAAGAAATCATAAGTACACTGTCAGTGGCTTTTCCCCCTTTATCTACTTAGCATTTTTGCTGCTACCACCCCACCTCTACCCACTTCATTGCTAGCTCAGTAATTTCCCTGACGGGAAGAACCTTCCATACCAGCCCGAGAAAGACCCTGTACCTGTAGGTGCCCCTCTCCAGCTCCCTCTCTCTCACTTAGGAAGAACTTATCCAAGAGGTATTATGATCCATCATCTAGTTGTCTAAATATAGACTTAAGCTGGGGATTGATTCCTCACATACTCCTGGAAGTGACTTATGGGACTTTATACCTGTGGCAATATTTTACTTTTAAGATTTTAGTGATACTTTGTAAGATTGGAAAGTTCTGTGTTTATACAACCAGTTATACGTGATGCATTATAGCTCAAAAATGCTCAATTTTCCAGTAACCAGCAAGGCATTCTGGCTTATTTAGATTTTAAAATAGTGTACAGGAGCATTTTCTATAGTATGATACTACTTTCTTTTTAAAATAAAGTGACTTTTAAAATTTCAGATAATTTTACTTGGGTAACTTTTTTTAAAAATTGCTTGTCTGTGTGTGACATAATCCTGGGAATCTATACAAGACACTGTTAATGGATACCATTAGGTGGTAGAAGTGAGATGGGGGTGGATGGCTTTTGTGGTTTGTTTTACACATTTTTGTAATTGTTTTCTTACCAGGTGCATGCATTACTTTTATTATTCAAAAAAATAAAAATGTTCACCATTTCTTCTATAAGGTACTCTAATATTAAAAGTAAGATTTCTTGTGTACAGTGTAGACATCTTTTTTGAAACTACTTTTGCTCTGATTCTACTAAATTAATACAAGTGCTGCATTGGATGAAGTAGTTGGTCTAAAGGAATTCAGTAGAAGAACAGAAAAATGATTGTCATAAAATTGAAGATAAGTTTCTTAGAGAAAATTTTTTCCTGAAATTTTGTAGAAGTATCACGTTAAAATGCAGCGAGCCTGAGAAGAGTTAGAGATGTTAAAGAACGGCTTAGAATCTTATGCGATTATCAGTGCTGCCGTGCCAGTAAGAAGACGTTTCCTTTGGTCCAAGCCAGTGCTGTATTAATAACTTCTTTCAACAAACACTGAAAGCTTAAGAAGACATGTTAACCATGTCTGTGGGATAGACAAGAGGTTTAGTTCATGTACTGTAGGAGTTCAGGGAGGGGAGATCTTCCTTTGGCATTTGGGGGCATGGCATATGGAGGGGAGACTTCATGGAGAAAGTAGATCTTGAAAGACCAGTTGAGTTTAGGTAAACTGATAGCTGCAATTAAGCCAAGGAAATAGGAATGTAAGGAATGGAACAGTTCTTCAAAGTTCTTCTAGTTTTACATATTTAATATCCTCTTCAGTGAAAGCTGTAACTCTCTGTGGCAGGCAGATCCACAGGAGAAGTCATTCTAATTCTCCTTTCAATTAGAGTAGCTGAAGTGTCTTTGCTGCATACCCTCTAACGTGGTTGATTTTGAGTCGCATTATTTTTTTTGTTTGTTTCATAATGTCCTTTTTGATATAGAAACAGACAATTTTCCTTCTTCCTAGTTTTATGCCTGTTTCTTTTTTCACTTTCTTTAGAGAAATGTGAAGTGACTCTATCCTTTTGTAAATGGAATCCCAGGATTATAGTTTACCTGTACCAATGAGTCAGCTTAATTATGTACCATTTAGACTGTCTTCTGCAGTGAGCTGTAGAATTCACTAAAGTAAATCGCTTTACTGAGTGTAGCATGTGCTAGTAATGGCAGAACATTGGGTATTATTAAAATAATTAATCAGTTGTTTTGGTTACATATTGAAGACATTTATCGTTTACTAATCCCAAAGAAATCTTCAATAATTTATTCCTGGCCTGGCCTGTTGAATGAGTACGTGAATAATAGGGTACGTAGGACTCGGCAGAAGAAAGATTTGCGTTTTCTTATCTCTGACCTTTGTCAATACCTGCTTCCCATTTCCAGATTTCTCTCTCTCATTTTTCCTAACTGCAGAGTACTTGATCTAAAGGGCAGCAGAGAAGAAACCGTTGGATACTAGTTCACCAGCATTATTTTCAGATTTGAGTCATGATAATATATCCCTTTTGCTTTAAGAAACAGAATTTACTTTTATGACAAGAGCCTAAATGTGATATGAATCAAGAGGAAGCATCACTGGCGTGGCTTTGACTAGGAGCCCATTTTAAATGCTTTTTGCCAGGTGTAAAAATTTAGGTTATTGTCAGTTTTCACTTTTGTAGTTAGAGAACTTTTTGCTCTATAGATTAACGTATTAAATATTGTATGGCATTTAGGAATAAGCCTTTCCATTGACTCTTCAGAAAATAACAGATCTTTTGTCAGCGAGCCTGAAAATACAAGGCAGCCTTGGCAGTAGAGTACCATTGTCTCTGCCTCCTAGGTATGTGAAGTACGGCTCGGGCCCGGCTCGGTTCCCACTCCCGGACATGTTGAAATATGTTATTGAATTTGCTAGTACAAAACCTGCCTCAGAAAACTCTGCATCTCAAAGTGACGCACGCATGACGTTACCACTTTCTTCTGAGCACTGCCCGGCTTCTGACCTGATATCCAAGGAAAGGTAATGCAAACAAGTTTTAAAAATAGTATGTAATGGGTTTTTTGGTTTAATTTGAACTGTGCACCATCTTTCCACCTGATTAACACTCACCCCGTAAGAGCTCAAAGGCCGTGAGCTCTTTGTCTTAAAGGGAAGGATTTTGCCAACTGTCACTTGGGTGAATTTTTCATAATTCCCACCGGTGCCTTCGTCTTGCCCACACGATAGTTGGGATTATTTCAGAGGCGTTTTGAGCTGTTTGGAATAGTGTTCATTCTCCAGCAGGCCCAGCTTGCTTTGAGCTTGCTATAAGCTAGGTGCCACAAAAGGCCTTCCTCAGAGGAAACCTCAGCCCCTGAACTTCTAAAACATCTCATTTTCTCGTTTGCTGAAGAAGTGTGCATGACTAAGTAAACATCAAGGGAAGGGGAACTTACTCACAAATAGAAAATTAAGATATGGAAAAGAACTGGCTCGAAATGGAAGAGGACAGCCTAGAGGGGTTTATCCAGTAAAGAGACAGGGAGGCCACGTCACGTGAGCCCTTGCTTCTCTTGCGGCTCAGCCGTGTACAGCACCCTCTGTGGCCTGGAGGAGCCGCTGGGGCCAGCGCGGATCAAATTTGATGTGTGTGTCCTGGCTAACAAAAACACTAGAACCTGTAGAAAAGGTTAGACTCTGATGTTAAAAAAACAAAACAAAACAACCATTCTTCCAGCTCCCCCCGCCGCGCACACACGTATTAATACTCATTCATTGATGTTTGTGCAGAAGTGCATATGTGGATAGAACATACCAAATGGTAGGAGTGATTATCTCTAGGGCATGGCATGAGGCAAGGGGCGGGGGGTTCTTTTACTTTTATACTCTACCTATGCGTATTTCTTTGGGCTTTTGTAGAATGTTTTTATGTCGTTTGTAAAATATAAATGGTTTTAATTTTTAAAAAGTGGTTTAATAACATAAAATAGTACTGCCTATATTAGATGTTAAAGTGCTCTGTGTGTGTGTGATCTTTTCTGAGATTGAGATGTCTGCTCGTTTGCTTATGTTGGGCTTATTTTTCCATGTGTATGGGTCCTTAGGGAAAAGAGGTTTTCTCCATTACTCTGTGTACGGGAGAAAGGCAGGTGGGAAAGGGAGAGAGGGTTGCTCTTAAGTCAGAGGTAGGACGTTTATATGCTTCAGTTTTGGTGTGAAACAGAAACCTAAGCACAGTCACAGGATTAGTGTATCTTCCTGCTGGTTTGTCTCTGTGCGGTTTGTTTGGCATTAGGTAATTAGTAGGTAAATTAACATTTACTTTACATACTTTATTCTTGGTTTACAACAAGGATGTAAAGAAGTTAACATCCCACATTTCATAGCTGAGGTATCAGATAGATTACTTGCCTGAGGCTACTAACTTTTCCTTGGGTATTTGGCTAAGGCCTGGTAGAGCTGAGATTGTCTGCCTTTAAGTCCTGCACCCTGTGCTCTCCCAGGGGGCCACCTATTTGCATTCCTGTGAGTTGGATGTTGAGCTGATACTATTTTTCTTCTGTGTATTTTGTTCCTGCATCCGTCTCTCCATCTCACTTTAGTCAGTTGCATCTTGGAAACACTATAGTTGATTCCTTGATTATTCCAGTCCCAGTCTTCTCTTCTCCATGTTCCTTCTCATCCTTTCTTCATGAAAAGGCAAGTGGTTAGAGAGCAGGAGGCATAGACTCTTAAACCCAGGCGGATCTGGGTGTAAATCCCTCTCTGTCATTTACTAGCTGGGTGAACTTGGATACGTTGCTTTATTTCTCTAAATCTTAGGTCTGTAGTTGGTAAAATAGGGATGGTCATAGTACCTGCCTCATGAGCAAGTTGTGTTAAATGAGATGATGCATGTAAAGGAAAGGTTTGGCTCAGTAACTGCAGAGTAAACACTCACTGAGTTATAGCTGTACTTCTCCACGTAGCAGCTTGCTTTAGAAAGCGCATTAATTTAGGCCAAGGCGTATTTTGGAAATCAGCATCTGAGCATGTTTTTTATCTTCCTTCAGTACAAGTAAAGAGAGCACGTGTCAAGATGCTGAAAGCACCTTTTCTTCTGAAGGTTCTCTACACAAGTCTAAGGTGGCGAATCAGCCACTTACACCTTCCCGATCTTCCATGGAAATGCCCTCACACCCAGCTCCTCGAACGGTCACAGAGGAGGAGATAAACTTTGTTAAGACCTGCCTTCAGAGGTGGAGGAGCGAGATTGAACAAGATATACAAGGTTGGCTCTTTCAATACTTCCCAGTTACTCTTTGCCTTTTCTGTTTGTTTGAATATGTGGAAGTTAGGTACCTTGGGTACATGTCCTGCCATTGCCATGTATACTGTTGAATTTTGGGGATTGTGACCTCTTTGGTACTTTTTGTTCCCTGTGAGATTGGGTCACACACGTCTGTTTTACAACCATGAAAAGATTCCCCCCCTGGATTCCCTCCTCAAAATTTCTGGGAAATCCTGGGTAGCTTGGACACTCATGACACTTAGCTTTGGCTGAGAATTTTCTGCATCTGCTGATTTTCTTTTCCCATAGTTTATCTGAACTCTGGCTTCAGTTGACCCAAACTTAGAATTTTGTTTTCCTGAATTACCACTTTTAAAGTCTTTTCTACATGAAGTATGCTTTATTGAAGGTTAATGAAGCAAAGAATATGTGAGTAATGCACGCAGTGTAAAATCGTATTATTCAGATTCTGTTCCGAAAATCCTTTGGCCTCGTTGTCTTGTTGCTCAGACTTCCCCTCCTCCCCTTCCTTCTCCTTTTATCTAGGGAGCAGTAAATAAAGAAATAATACAAATCTAGATTCCTCCCAGGTTCTTATTCATAGAAATCTGGCCCTGCCTTTTGTTGTGCCTTCTCCTTTCAGGTCCTGTCCCTGGGACATATATTTTACACCCAAGTGCCCCATTAAGGTCTTTTTCTAGAAACTGTTTTCTCTCTAAGAAATTCTGGTGTGAATTATAAGAGGTGATTTTTTAAAAATCTTAATGTAGTTATATTAAACTAAAAGCCTTTGTAACCTAAAGCTCCACCTACTTTAAAACTGCGTCCTTCTTCGTGGTTCATAGAGTGAAGTTGAACTGGTCAGAACCCCAGGTGCAGAGAAGCAGTACTCTTCGCAGAGCTAAAGCTGCCTGGGTGACGTGTAATGAAATCATTTTAACTAAGTATTCTTTTTTTTTTAACAGATTTAAAGAACTGTATTGCAAGCACTACCCAGACTATTGAGCAGATGTACTGTGATCCTCTCCTCCGTCAGGTAGAATGAAAATTGATGGGAAGGTAGTCAAGGCATGTTCTAATGGTGCTAATGGTAGATACAAAAAGAAAAGTTGATGGTTTTCTTGGAAACTGAATGGAAACTTCCCTGAGATATAAAAATAACTTTAGGAAAGAAATAGCTATTATTCTATATTTTAGGCTAAAAAAAAGCAATGTATCTTGTCACCAACAGAACCTAAAATATATTTGTTTTGATTCTGCCACATGGTATTTTTTTCATGTATTTGAAAAGTTTGTCATTAAATATTAATAAAAATTTCTCATAAAATGGTTAATTTAAGTAGTGCAGTGGGGGAAACCTGACCAGGGACTGGTTCCCCATCCTTTCCAAAGTACCATGATCCTTCGTGATCCTTTGTTTAGCAGCGTGCTTTCAAGCTTTATATCTCTAGTAATTCCAAAAGGGAGGTAGGCAGGGCAGAAATTTTAGTTTCCACATATGTTTTTGTTTAGAGTAACATTCTGGGCATAGAGGGGAAAGAGGCTCCAGTTAGGGGCATGCCCTCCACTGGCTTCTGTGTGAACGATAGGCCGCGGGAGGAGAGCTCTGTTTCTAGGGTCGCATGGAGGCACAGTTGTGTTGCACAGCAGGAATGCATCATGTAAATCTTGGCTGTTCCCCATTTTCTCTTTTCTATTATTTAAAAAATTTCACCACCAGTAAAAACATGTCAAGGTACTGATTAAATGTAAGTTTACTTTGGTTCGATGGCTGACTTTCTTTCACCAGTACTTACTTGGCACTTAAGCATTGCTCTATTTTCCCCATATTGGGGGAAAAAAAGGCTTTTCACATGTTGAAACAAACAAGTATGTCGTTAAAAGGGTCTTCACCCCCAGATAAGTGGATGATAACTTGCAAGAAGAAATATAGAGACCACGAGACCGACTAATAATGAAATATGCTAACTTAGATTTTGTTAACAAATAAAATAGGCATAGAACAAGATAGCTGCTAAACTTGTTGTAGGTACCAAGTGTGGTAAACATCTTCTCAACATGAGTAGTCATGGTGATTCTGTTTTTAGATAAACTGAGTTTGGAACTCGTGGAATAAATAGGTCTCAGTTATCTTTCGTTTTAGATGTATAATCATAGGAGTTTAGAGTTGAAAGGGGCCTCAGCGAGGTCATCTAGTTCAATTGTCCGATTTTAAAGATTCAGGAACCAGGACGTAATTAGGAGATTCCAAGGCTGTGTTTTTGTTAGTTCATCTTGAATCAGCAAGATGTTTTGATGTGAACCTAACATCAAACACATGTATAAACAGGCAGTTTTCTGATGTCTGACAGTTGGGTATACTTTTGAATTTTAGTAACCTAAGTCTTGTCGGATTATTTTGCTTATTAACCTGATACAGGAATTGCTTTGTGATTTGCAGGTGCCTTATCGTTTGCATGCAGTTCTTGTTCATGAAGGACAAGCAAATGCAGGACACTACTGGGCCTATATCTATAATCAGCCCCGACAAGTCTGGCTCAAGTACAACGACATCTCTGTTACCGAGTCTTCCTGGGAAGAACTTGAAAGAGATTCCTATGGGGGCCTGAGAAATGTTAGTGCTTACTGCCTGATGTACATTAACGACAAGCTACCCCACTTCAGTGCAGGTAAAAACACCTTAACAGAAGCCAGGGGTGGGGGAAATCTGTACTGCTCAGGGAAGGGAACAATCTTGTAGTTTAAAATAAAAATTTTAACTCAGATTTATTACAAAGTAATCATGTATTTAAAAAATACAAATAGTATAAAGGAGACTAAAAAGGAAAAATAAATTAGCTTTCCTACTCCCGTCCTTGAGCCCAACGAGTATCCATTCGTAGGTCTCACGTGTGGTCTTCAAGAAGTGTTCTATGCGGAGGCTAGATTTTATTTATCGATCTCTCTCCCGCCCGATTTCTCCCCCCAAAGGGGACATTTTTCCATTCTGTTCTGCGTCTTTTTCATTAATTGTTTTTCGTAGTGATCTGCATATTTTTATAAATAGAACCAACTTATTCTTTTTAACAGCTGCATAATAATTCCATTGCATGGAATACGTATATAATCTGTTAAACCAGCCTCCCATTGACAGACTTTTAAGTTGCCTCTAGTTTTTTTTCTCTTTTAGTGACATTCTCGCACACATATTTTTACACCCTTTGGAGAATAGCTAGATGTTACAAGTGGATTTGCCTGAACAGTTTCATACTTCTCATAATACTACTGCTAATGCTAAGAGCAATTATAATTATCATTTATGTTGGTACTTTACTCCTTATTGCACACTTTCAAACTTTATTTCTCTAATAACTTATAACTCTAAAAGGGAGGTAGGCAGGGCAGGAATTCTTATCACCCAGATTTTCCAGCTGAGGTTCTGCACTTGTCTGGAGTCTTATAGCCAGTAAATATTCTGATTCCAGGTTCTGTGCTGTTTTCCATTTATATTACTCTCTCTTTCTTTCTTCCTTTCACATCTGAGATCATGGAAGGCATCTTCTTTTAGTGTTCAAACTTCACTGTGTTGCATAAGTAAGGAAACACATAAGGCATTTTGTCCGGGCAGCAAATGATCTTTCTGATTTGTTAGCGTGTGCTTGAGGGATAAGCAATGGAGAGAATGATCACTTAACGGTAACTGATCTTCATAATTGCATGTTTGCAGTGTGAAAGCAGGAACAGCTGCTCGTGGGAGTTACTGTGCAAATAATTGTGCAGGCTGTTGGTGGTATCTAGGAGCCTTGTTGTTACACGTATGGCTCATTTTTATATTACAGAAACAGACAAAAAGTGGAAACTGTCATTTGCTTAGTGAAAAGACTAGTTAATAGCAACGAGTACATGGATGTGCTATTCTGCTGTAGGTTTTTATGTTTTGTTTTGGTCACAGGGTTAGAGATGAGATTTAATATGTCCTCGCTATCCTTGCCATTTTTCATCATAGCCTTTGATGAACCAGGAATTACTGACCATCTAACCTTTGTATCAGTTTGCTTTCTTATAGCACTTGATTGTGTGAAACTTAAGGCGGTATAAATGTCTTGGAATTCATCTCTAACCGTCTTGAGATGGATATTCTTATCAGTAATAGGAGCATTGGTTACACTGATAAAACTGTCTACCTTGAAGTATCCATTGGATCTAATGATTTTCTCAATTTCCAAGAAATGTTTGGTTTGTCCTTGCTACTTTGTCACTGATTGGCCTCTACTCCAAATCCTTAGTCATTGTCGTCGATTGATTCGTTTAACAAATATTCAATGTGCCTACCTACTAATATGCCAGGCACTGTTACTGGGGTGCTGTGACTGTTGGCCTGATATTGTCAGTACTTCAGATGGATTATGTACGTGTGTATGTATTTTTCATTAGGAGTAAGAAAAAAAGACAAAGTGTCTTATTTTCTTTCTTTCTAGAAAGGACCTTTGGATTCCTTGAGACCTTTTGCTTGGTGGAACTTCGTTTAAACTCTGTCCTTGTTCTTCCTCAGAGGCGGCCCCGGATGAATTAGATCAGATGTCAGGAGAAGTGGAAGCCCTCTCTGTTGAACTGAAGCATTACATTCAGGAAGATAACTGGAGGTTTGAGCAGGAAGTAGAGGAGTGGGAAGAAGAGCAGTCTTGCAAAATCCCTCAAATGGAGTCTTCCACCAGCTCAGCATCACAGGATTTCTCTCCATCACAAGGTACCTGAGAAGGGCATCTGTGCCGGTGATCTGGTGGGATTCATGCTGCACTCCAGTAGCCAGTCCCGTGCACTTCATCTGAGTGAGCCGTGCCACGGTCTGCACACTGGAGTTCAGATAGAGTTGGTGTTGCACAACCTGACGGCCTAGCCTGTGGCTCTAGACTGTCATTTCTGCTGAGCAGAAGTAAGAGCAGAAAGAGTAGCTGCCCGTACTTTCACTCTGTTTCGTTTTTTGCTTATTTCCCAGGTTGCAGGAGAAACTACGTAGGATTAATAGGTAGATTTTATGAAAACTATTCTCCAAAGGTGATCTTCCTAACAGATGGTTGGTTGTAGGAAGGCTTCTTGGCATAAAGAAATATGACAGCATCAGGAGCACATTAAACTTTACAGCATCGTCAGTGGCTTCTTGCTAAAATAGCCATTTCTTTTAGTCACTAGTTTCTAGGGGAAATTCTGGGTTTTTTTAAAAAGGCTTGTTAGAAGGTTTGTTAGAAGGTTTGCACATGAAACTTTGTATCAGTCCTGCTTGCCGTTCACAGAGTGCTCTAGAGGTTGCTTCTCATCAGATGCTCATTCCTTGGTGCGGTTCTTTATCAGAGTCTTCAGTCGCCTCTTCCCACGGGGCTCGCTGCTTGTCCTCCGAGCATGCCGTGATCGTGAAGGAGCAGACCGCCCAGGCTATTGCAAACACGGCACGCGCCTACGAGAAGAGTGGTGTGGGAGCAGCGTTGAGTGAGGTGCGAATGGCTTAGAAGCCCAAGTGCAGGAGGGGTGGGCTCTTGGCAATAACGGCCACAGTTTCTCGCATTTCTGTTTTCCTGTGCCTGCTGCATTTAACCAATCCCTCTTTATTTCTTCTGTTTTTTGCTTACTCTTTCTCTCCGTTCTGCTGCCACAGCTTAAGGAAGCTGAACCCCAGAAGCCCATGTCCCCGGAAACAGACCTTGCAGAGCAGCCCGAGCAGCCCGCACAGGCTCATGACGCAGAGTCTGCTGCCCAGCCTAATGCTGAGGTCTCTGAAGTCGAGATTCCCAGTGTGGGAAGGATTCTGGTTAGATCTGATGCAGATGGATATGATGAGGAGGTACAGAGATGAGTCAGGGTTTAGCTGTCTGTCGTCAGTCTTGTATTTCCTTCTCACGTGACTCAATATAGTTGTGTGAGGTGTTTGGCAACAGTTACTGTTTTCCCATTGACGCAAATAATGGGCGAGAGGGCCTATCTCAGTTACCACTGCACACTGCTGCCAGTATATACCTACCCAGACCTGTCCTTATGAGGGCCGCTGCAGAGCCAGATGGCTCAGAAAGGCAGAATTTAGTTTTTTGTTTGGTATTATGAGCAAAGAAATTGCCTTTAGGAGTCTTTGTCTTTGGTCATATTAGTCCATTGTGTCTCCTCCAAATATAAAGTTTTCAGTTGTCTAGTGAGCAAAAAAACAGATGTGACTTGAAGGTGTTTTTAATTCTGAAGCTTTAGGGAGAAGCTGTAGAATCCCGGGTTGTTCATTGTCTGCCGCCTGTACAGTTGTCACCACACACTAACTGTCGGGAATCCTGTCCTCAGGTTTCTGTTTTTTCCTGTGGGGCATTTTTTTAATCATTGTAAGAGTTTCACTTTGTAAAGTGTTATTTGTGTATCCCCTAGTTTCCAGACTGTTTAAAATGTGCTCTTCATCCTAGTAAAACTCCAAAATACTGGTGTATTTAGGATATACACCCAAATTATAGAACTCAGTTGGAACTCTCGCCTCAGACACTTCCCCTCTGAGAGTTGTAATTTAACTCGATTCTGTAGCAGCGCCACATCGCAGGTATTTTTAGACATACATCTTTATTCATTGGCTAAATTAGAGAGAATATGTAGGAATAGCTTGTCTTGGGCAAAGTCTTGACATTGTGCAGAGGGCCAGGGCTGTGAATGTGTGTAGGACCCGGTGTGTGAGCGTTGCCTCGCAGTGGGTTCCAGCCACGGAGCACGCTGCCATGCTTCCCTGCAGCTGTCTGTTCACCTTTCTTTCATACAGTCTTCTTTTGAACCTTTCTTCTCTCCCTTTTCTCTCTGTTTTGTGCCCTCTTGTGGTAGGTGATGCTGAGCCCTGCCATGCAAGGGGTCATCCTGGCCATAGCTAAAGCCCGTCAGACCTTTGACCGAGATGGGTCTGAAGCAGGGCTTATTAAGGTATCTCTGTTTTTTGAATTCTCATCCTTATACCACAGGTATCATAACACGGGGCAGTACTTTCCTTAGATGCTAAAAAATGGGATTAAAAGGTTTTCATCGAAGTAAAACATAGAACTTCCTTTCCTGCCCAGCTAACGACCCAGCCACCTCACAGCACTGATGGCTTCTCCTCTCTTGGCACCGACGCGGCTTTGGTGTTCTGTGTTACACCCGGCCTGGAGGGCTTGTTGTTGTTCTTAGGAGCCATCTGTTCATAAAGCTGTGAATGGGACCTTGCCTTTGTAATTTGGGGGCCATAATATAAGAATGAAGGCCATGCTTTTTAAGGTACTTGAATAAAATTTAAGGTACTTGAAGAAATTGCATTCATGTCGGTTTTTAAATGTCAGGCCCTTGGTACTCAAGGATATGCCTGAAACAATTAAAACTAAATACTTGTTTTTCTGAGAACTTTATGAGGAGGAGGAGTTTCTTGTGAGTATGTCTTTGGTGCCAGAGGAGTTTTATCCTTACGAAATGAAAAAAACTTTCAGATTCCATAGTTGCCTCTGTCATGTCTCAGTAAGAAGGACTTCTCAGAAGTCTTCTTGGAGTGATGAAAACCTCTGTAGCGCTTAAGGCGTCAGTTTCTGTGTGTAGAAGGTCACAGTGTGCGCTTTTCTAACCACCAGTTCTGTCTTCAACAGGCATTCCATGAAGAGTACTCCAGGCTCTATCAGCTCGCCAAAGAGACCCCCACCTCTCACAGTGATCCTCGACTTCAGCACGTGCTTGTCTACTTCTTCCAGAATGAAGCGCCGAAAAGGGTAGTAGAGCGGACCCTTCTGGAACAATTTGCGGACAAAAATCTTAGCTATGATGAAAGGTGAGGAGGGGCTACTTCGGTGAACCACCCTTCCTTCTGGGTCTGGCTTGACTAACTCCTCTGAAGGGGGAGCTTTCATTGCTTTCTGAACTTCGTTCACAGGTCAATCAGTATTATGAAGGTGGCTCAAGCGAAATTGAAGGAGATTGGTCCAGATGACATGAATATGGAGGAGTACAAGGTGAGATCTTCTCTTTACATCTACAAAGCAAACACGTTAAGGCCAAGCCAACAATTTTATATTATCACAGACTGACCACCCGCCGCCTACCCCCCAGAGAAAGCTGGGTGAGAATGAATGAATGATCTTTTCTTACCCTTAGAATGGCCAGTTTCTTTATTCCATTGTTCTGTTAGACTGAATCAGCACTTCATTCCTCTTAAATACCCACTTTAGCCCTGTTCTGGGCAATAAAATTCTTGAATTCATGGCTTTGCTTTGCTTTAAATAATTTAGTTCTCTAACATTTCTATATCTGAAATTAGATTTTTGCACATTAAAATGCATGCATGACTACAGATTTTCAAAAAAGGCTTCGTGTTGTAGGAAAGACGCTGTCCTGTGCCACCTAAAGTATGTCACCACCCCCACTGAGCTTAGTGTTGTTCTGTGAGGTTGGAATGGCCGTGTCCCTCCGTCTTCCGTCATCTGGATGGTTTTGTCAGAACTCGGGAGGCCGTTCATTTATACCAGAACTGAATGACTTTGACGTGGGTGTTGGAAATTAAGATCCTAAATTCTAAAGCTCATGTGAGATGAGTATTTCTGTTCCTCGGGGGAAGGAGCAAGACATGGAAAATTAAGGTCGGCGGTAGACGTTAATTCTAAATGTCGAATACTTTATTATCTGAAAGCCTTTGTGTCTCCTGTTTTTGTGCCTGGCCATGTGTGCTCAATGAGTATTTGTACTGAGTTTGAAGTTTACTGTGGCGGAAAGGGTAGAAGCAGTGGTGGTCATAATCATGAATGGCTGTCATTCCTTTTCAGAAGTGGCATGAAGATTACAGTTTGTTTCGAAAGGTGTCTGTGTATCTCCTGACAGGCCTGGAACTCTATCAGAAAGGAAAGTAAGTTGGCCTCTTATGTCACTGAAATTACTGGTCAGGACACTTATTTATCGATGCCTATCAGGAATTCAGAGGACCACAGCACCTTCACCCCCCTTCTCACATGTACCCTGTGCCTCTACCTTTTTCCAGTGTTTCACTTCACTTTTGCTCTGAACATCACACATGTTTTTTCATCCTTTACATAATGATAGATTTCTTAGTTGAGAGATATAATGGCCAGGTTTTCTTTGTGATAAACGAAAATGAACTCAGAAAGTGAATTTTAAGAGTTGGTGTGGACCTTAGTGAGCCTCTCGTCCACTTCTTTGTTTTAGAGTTGGGAGAAACAGAAGCCCGGGGAGGTTCCATGATTTGCCTTGGGTTTCTCGGCCAGTTTGCAGAGGAGCTGAGACTGGCTGTGGTCTTTGGCCCTCAGGCTTTTCCCAGTGCTCCATGCTGCCTCCATCATTAAGACTTTTCCATCGTCTCAGCCAGTTGCATTCTTGTATTAGGGAACAGTGGGGACTAAGCCCTGGATTCGGGGAAGGAGCACTGAGCTGTTTTTTATCTGCCACTTTCTAAGGTACCAAGAGGCGCTTTCCTACCTGGTGTACGCCTACCAGAGCAATGCCGCTCTGCTGATGAAGGGGCCCCGGCGGGGCGTGAAAGAGTCGGTGATCGCTTTATACCGAAGAAAATGCCTTCTGGTTTGTACTGATTGTAAAGCCGTACGACTTTTTAATTATCTATTGTGTTTACCTCTGCTCCTTGAAGCCGTGAAGAAATAACAACTTAAAAAAATCTCCAACAGGTTTTAGATTTTTCCAAACTCTGAAGAGTAGTTTTACATGGAAACAAATTATTTTAAGTTACTTCAGTGAATGTCATTCTTCTTCCACCCCTGATAGAAGTTAGGTGAGAATCACTTATCCCCATTTCGGTGCCCTTTCTATGTACTGCATTATAGCTTTTATCACATGGCCTGTCTACTAGACTGTGAGTTCCTGAGCACAGATCCTCTTCTTATTCAGCTGTTTTCTTGGTGCCTGGCCCAGAGTAAACATGTAAGAAATGTGTGTTTTTCCTGGGTTCCCTGCTCAGCTAGTAGATGAGCGTTTTAGTGACTTCCAAAGAGATTCCAGTTTTTTAAAGGTATGAACCGTCAGGATCGGCCCTGCCATTCTGTTAATACCCTCGTCACACACCGCTGGAGATCTATCCTGACCTATTTTGCATTTGGCCGCCACGTGGGAAGGAGACCCATGTCCCCTCTGCCTCCCCAGGGGTTCCTGCAGGCGCTTGTCCTTCAGAAACTACAGAGGCGGCTTTCCCAGACCCACGTGCTTGCCTTTAGCCTCTCTGACACCCGGCAGGATCCCCCTTCACGGGAGGAGTCAGGCCAGCGTTTCTCCCACTGCCTCCGTTAATACCAAGTGGAGGAGGTTAAGTCATGACATGTATTCTCTCAGAAGCGCCATTTTCTGATTGCACTTGGGCTCCTGCATCAGTTACACGTATGGCGGGCACTTCGAAGCTGAAAACAGGGCCTTGTAGACTTGATGGGCCTCAATTTTAGCAAAGACATGAGTTTATTTTTTAAATCACCAAATACAGATTACATTCTGAATATCCCGCTCAGCCGCCACAGGGAGACAGTACTAGGGATTTAGAGTCTTTCCACCTCTGGCTCTCAACCTCCAGTGTGCGTCAGAATCGCCTAAGGAGCTTTCAGATGGTTGGGACCCAGGCGTCTCCCCAGACAGTTAAACCAGTCTCCTGGGGAGGCGCCTGGGCACCAGCTTGCCTTCTGCAGGTGATTCTGGTGTTCAGTGAAGATTGAGAACCATTGAATAGGCCTTTTGACAGAAGCGGGTGTTAAATATGACCTTGACTTGTAAGTTTAGGCCACTGGGTCAGAGACTTTGCTGCATTCGGATCACCTTGGGAGCATTAAAAAAAAAAAAATCCCAGCGCCCAGGTCACCCAAATACCAGTCAGTCAGCTTGCTTGGGTTGGGGCATCGGTAGTTCTTAAAGATCCCCAGGCATTTCCAGTGTACAGTGAAGTTTGGGAAGTACTTGTTTAGGCTCTTCTAAAATAGATACTTATCTTCTCTTTCAGACTTTTATTTTTGTTCACTCTGTTTTTTATCTATAGGAGCTGAATGCCAAAGCGGCTTCTCTCTTTGAGACAAATGATGAGCACTCTGTAACAGAGGGTATTAATGTGATGAATGAGTTGATCATTCCCTGCATTCACCTTATCATTAATAACGACATCTCCAAGGATGACTTGGATGCCATTGAGATCATGAGAAACCACTGGTGCTCTTACCTTGGGCAAGATATTGCAGGTGTGCTGTTGTTGCCACTTCCAATAATTTCTAAGGCCCTTGAGAATTCTAGAAATTGCAGTGGACTCAGTTTGTAGTACCGGTTGTCAAACCACTTTAAGGCACTGGAATCCCCTAGAATATACAAGAGTCAAAAGTACATCTACTCTATTGAAACAAGGAATGGGAGCCTGCACCCCTGTCCTTCTTAGCCTCCCCTTACCTCCTCTGTGGCTGCTGAATCACCTCCACAGCCAGCCAGCCAGCCAGCTCTGTTTGAAATAAATCACTGCTCTCCAGGAATGTCAGACTGCTGTTACTTTTTCATCTGCCGAAATCTGAACTTTAATTTTATAGTTTAAAAATAAAAATCTATTTATGCAGCTTGATTACCTGTTGGTGCTGTAATTAAATTTTCCTGTGACTTGAAGTTGCAAGACGTAAACATATTATTAACTGACGCCTTCAAGGTTAACAAATTAGTAAATGGAACGTCTGTGCATGTCCAAAGCATTTTGGAGAGGGAGCCTAAAACTAGGTATTTTTAGGTGAGTTTGATAGATTTAGAAAGTTGCTACGTATCCTAATACGAATCCTCTTTGTTAGTTTCTCACTGATGTGGAGATATTCTATTGACTTGTTAAAGTGTTCAAGTTTATAATATTTATTGAAAAATTCTATAATAATTAGTAGCTATGAATTTTGTTTTAATGTCTTCAGTTTTTATTTAGACCATGTGTGATATATAACTTTACATAATGCCGTGTACACACTGGTATATTTTAATTACTTGAAGGAAAAGAGCAGCATTTTATTTATGGCAATAGTATATTTACGGTACGTTATATTTATGGTACTTCCTCAGATTTTAAAGGATGATTGATTGGAAGACGTGTCCATGATGAAGTGAATATATAGTGTTATTCTGCCACACGTCACATGGCTTAAAACAGTGACCTAAAACTTTGGTATATTTGGCAAATAGGTCTTTGCTACTGGTTTGGCCTGAAGGAATCATCATTTGTCATTAGCTGACCAGAACAATGCTTTAACCTTTCAGGTTGGGTGATGGCTATATGAAAGACCTTCTCCTATCATTGCAGACTTAGTTTTTACTCAGAGATTTATTTAGCTGTACAGTAACCATCCATTTTTCCTCCACAGAAAATCTGCAGCTGTGCTTAGGGGAGTTTCTACCCAGACTTCTAGATCCTTCTGCAGAAATCATTGTCTTAAAGGAGCCTCCGACTATTCGACCCAATTCGCCCTATGACCTTTGTAGCAGGTTTGCAGCTGTCATGGAGTCAATTCAAGGAGTGTCAACTGTGACAGTGAAATAAGCCCCCACGTGTTCAAGTCCCATCCTGGTCTTTGGTTGACTGCCTGTTGCACAGAAGTCTGTTGTCACAGTGTTTACCTTGGGAAGGGGATTAGGTGGAAAAGTAAGATTCAGATCCAGACCCCAACCATACTGTGTATGTAAAGAAGGATTGAAAATAAAATTGCACTTTTTAGGTACAGAATCATAAAAGCGATTTCACTAAAAAAGGCAGGAACCAGTGTATTAAGGTATTGATTTATGGCAGAAGACCTGAAATGCCTCTTGTACCTACCGGCGTGCTTGGGCTTTTCTAAGCCTCTTGACACTTTTAAAATTATCCTTCAGGCATAAGTGTTTTTGACAGCAGAGTAGAAGGGTGATTCATCAGAACCTGAACCATATGAACAGCTACTAGTTATTTTATCAAATACAGATGACATTAAAAAATTCTTAACCGCAAGAGAGGAGAAGCATACACCTCGCCTGGCTCTTGACAGGAGATGACAAGATACGTTGTTGATGAACCACTGCCCTTTCACACGTGGGTAGAACATAAGGTCATGCATGTGGCAGTAAGATGTTCAAAAGTCAAAAGAAAGCTGCCTCTCCTTTCTTTCTTCTCTCTCTTTTACTTTATGTTTTTAAATAAACCAGAAAACCTCATACTCAGTCCTGAGTGAAAGAAAGGAAGGCATTAAGGACTTCAGATGGAGTAACAACATTGTGAAACTTGACTAAAGATCACGTTTTCATAGTCAACCATTTAGGTAAAAATTTCTAGTGTCTGAAAAGTGTCAAAACCCATGTCTAAGGCTGCTGCTGGCCCAGAAGAACATTTTGATGCCCCTCCCCTTTTTTGCTTTTAAAAAATAAGGGATGTGGGTTTGTAAAAAGAAAAAAAAAATCTATATATATATGTATATGTAGAGAGAGAAATATCCCCTCTTGATAATTTTTAAAAGGCTCCAAATTGGGTATCCAAATTTTAAGATTAATGAGGGAATCGTGGGAGGGAAAAACACTTACTACAACAATGCAGATTTTATAAATGTGCAATAAAAGTATTTGTTTTACCTTTGGTATGCAGTATGGCCTTTATTTAAATATATATTTTCTGTTTCGGAAATGGATGGACTCAGTAAGCGTTTCTCACGTTTCACCTTTTCTTCTTGAAAAGAAAAAGGCAGATTAGAGCGTTGAGAAGCTTGAGGGGGATGAAGGGCAGTGGTCACTTCTTGAGCAGCACCTAGTGCTGACTGATCTCTTTTCATCTCATTCGCTAGTTGCATTGCATGTAAGTGTATCCACTTTGTAATTTTTCTGATTTAGAAGGCAAAAAAATTATTTTCTTGAAACCAAATTCTTATATTTTGGTTAAATTAATGGTTAGGCCATCTTTTACAGATATTCAGAGGTGATTTGTGTTTTAAAGCTCACTGCAAAGATCTGTTTCATGGGAAATTAATCACTTTTCTTACCCATTGATTACCTTTTACTATATAAAATTCTAGGCAGTAGCACCATTTGCCTTCTGCTTTTAAATACCTGTCATTACTGATTACTGTGCACAGTTATATAACAACCCTGGGATGAAAACGGGGACTGTGGTTTGCCCAAGGTCATAGGTGTCCTAAGTAGTGGAGCCAGGACACTAACCCTTGGTGTGTCTCACTTCATAGCCTGTGCTATATTAACAACTGCTTGACTGCCCTTGGAAGTCTTGTAAAATCTTTTGCTTTGTACCTTTCCACACTAGTTATTTCCTGATGAGCTTTTGAGAACCTGCAGTTGGTGAAGAAAGGAACAGCTAGCTGTACATCTGTAGTGTTGGATCCACTCAGACCACCATGGCGGGTACTGGTGCTGCCTTAGGTACAGCTTAGTTTCTTTCAGGGTCAGCAAACTGTCTCAAGCTAAGAATGGCTTTACTTATTTAAAGGGTTGTGAAAAAGAAGGATGAGGGGAAGGGATGTTGGGGGTGGGGTGGGAGAAAGAACCAGTGTGACCCTTAACCAGAAATGATTTCAAGAGTTTGGGCAGGGTACTTGACCTCAGCATAAATTCCCTGGAGACTGGGTTTAGCCTTTCCCTGGTTAACTGGAATTGCAATCCTTTTCCATTTGGATTTGTTAATTGGCTCTGTCAAGAACTATGGAGCATATAAACTCATTGTTATCCTACCCACTTCAAGAAAGAGGTGTGAAGTGGATACATAGAACAATTTAAATAATGAATGAAGAAGAGGCAAGGGTTGAATGAAGGGCTGGGATGTAGCAGGGATAGGATAGAAGGGAGAATTAACTGCAGCTGTAGTTTCCTCATTTTCCTTGCTCGGTTTATTATATTTCATTGGATGAATATACCTTACAATTTTTTATGCTAATTGTCACTTGAGTGTCTCCAGTTTTTGGCTGCTACCCATAATGCTACCAGGAACGTTCATGTACATGTCTTTTGATGCGCCCAAGAATGCGTTTCTGTTGGTATGTAATTCTGAGTGGAATTACTGGATCATTAGAATATAGGGGTCATAGGAATAGGTAGATGTAGCTTTATTAGGTTCTACCAAACAGTTTTCCGAAGCAGTTATACCAATTTAAACTCCTACCAGCAGTTTATAAGAGTTCCAGTTGCCCCATATCCTTGTCAAGATTTGATTTTGTCAGTATTTTTAATATAGCCATTCTGGTAGACATGTGATGATATCATTTTGATTTGCACTCCCCTGTGTCAGCTGAAGAAAAATGCACAACCTACAAGTTGCAAGTTATGTTTTATTTAGGGACCTTACTGAGGACTGTGGCCCTGGAGGCATCCTCTCAGATAGCTCTGAGGAACTGTTCCAAAGAGGTAAGGGAGGGGAAAACATGTAGCTGAACATTAAAAGACTACTACTAATCTCAAAAACACCAGACATTTCAAGTTAATGATTTTAGTGCTTTTCTACCTATGAGAAGATGCGAGCCTCATTGAAATTTTTCCTTAGGTATGCACCTTAACTATCTAGGGCCAGTATCCTGTTTTTCTCTGTCCTGAATTCCCCTCAGGGTGCACCATCAGGGCTGGCTGCAGTGGCTGATGGCCTGATGGTGGGCAACATTCCTTTTTTTCCTGGGATGGCAGGCAACATTCTTTTGTCCACATCTGTGTCCTAGGGATGTCCAGCATCTCTTAATATACTTATTGGCCTTTGGCTATTCTGTTTTTTGAAATACGTATTTAAGTCTTTTGCCCACTTTTTTCTTTTTTCTTTTCCTTAGTGATTTATAGGAGTTTTTTGAAAATATAGTCCAGTTATGGAAGCTTTTTTGGTTATATGCATTGCCTATATCTTCTCCCACTCTGGCCTTTCATTTGATGTCTTTGGGTCAAAACAAGTTTTTAATGTTAAGGTTGTCCAGTTTATCAGTCTTTTCCTTCATGGTTAGTGCTACTGTGCCCTCTTGAGGAAATTATTTCCAAGGTCATAAAGATATTCTGTGTTATCTTCCAGAAGTTTCACTGTTTTACCCTTCACATTTAGTGGACTGACCCTCACCATTTATTGAAAACGTTTTGTGTTTCCCAGTGCTATGCCTTTGTCATAAGGTGTCTATGTAGGGTTCTGCTTCTGGGCTCTTTTGTCTGTTCTATTGGCCTGTTGGCCTGCTTGTACCAATATCACATTGTCCTAATTTGTGTAGCTTTATAAGTCTTGATATCTGGTACAATAAATTGTCCAGTTTGGGACATCTTCAATATCATCTTGGCTATTCTTGATTTTTTTATATTTCCATATAAACTTTAGAATCAGTTTGTCAATTTCACACATGCATACACAAATCTCCAGGGATTTTGATGTGGTTTATAGTGACTATAGATAATTTGAAGAGAATTGACATCTGATCTATGAACATTGTGTATACTTTTTATTTAGGTTTTCCTCAGTTTCTGTATAAAGGTCTTCCACCTCTTTCATAAGATTTATTCCTGGATCTTTGATGTTTTTCAACCTATTGTAAATGCTGTGATTTTTTTTAAATTCCATTTTTAATTGTTTGTTGCTGACATCTGGAAACAAATGGATGTTTTTATATCAAGCCTGTAAGAATTACTTATTAATTCCAATAGTTTATCAGGTTTTTTTTAGATCTTCTGTATACACTATGTTATCTGTGAATGATGACTTTTATTTCAAGTCCTTACAACGTTTCTTTTTCTTGACTGGTCACACTAGGACCTCTGATATAATGCTGAATAGAAGTGGTGATAGTGGGTGTCATTATCCGCCCCCCCCCCATATCAGGGAGAAAGTTTTCAGTATTTCACCATACTGTAGGCTTTTTATAAATTCCGTTTATTAGGTAAAGAAAGATTTCTTTTATTCCGAGTTTGAGTTTTTTTTAAATTATGAATGGGTGTTGAAATTTATCAAATGCTTTTGCTTTATCTATTGAAATGATTACATGGGTCTTTTCCTTTACTCTGTTCATATGTGAATTACATTTAGTAATTTTAAACCAACCATGTTGCCAGAAGAAACTGAATTTGATCGTGATATATTTTTGATATGCATATGGAATTTTTTCATATTTAGGACTTTTGCATGTATATTCATGAAAGAGATTGGCCTTTAATTTTCTTTTCTTGTAATGTTCTTATCAAAGTTTTGGTGTAGATTATTCTGGCCTTATTGCATGAGTTGGGATGTTCTCTCATTTTCTATGCTCTGAAAGAGTTTGTATAAGATAGGATTGTTTCTTCCTTAATTTCTGGCAGAATTCATTGTTGAAGCCATCTGATCCCAGAGTTGTTTTTTTTGTGTGTTTTGAAAAGATGCTTTTAATTATAGATTCAGCTTCTTTTATACATTTAGGGTTTTCAGACTTTTTTTGGTTACTCCTTGTGTCAGTTTTGGAAAATTATTAGAAATTCGTCCAAAAAAAAGAGAAATATGTCCATTATGTCTAAAATTTAAAATTTACTTGGCAAAAAGTTTATAATAACGCCTCGTGTGTGTGTGTGTGTGTGTGTGTGTGTGTGTGTGTGTGTTTAATGGCTCCAGGATCTTCGTAATGGCCCCCTTTTCATTACTGATACTGGGTGACACACGTATCTTCTTTTCTTTTTGGTTAGTATTTCCAGAGGTTTATTGGTCTTTTCAAACAGCTTTATTTTGTTTTTATTTATTTTTCTCTTGTGTAAGTTTTTTCCTGTCTTTTTTTTTATTTATTTTTGGCCATGCCATGAGGCTTGTGGGATCTTAGTTCCCCGACCAGGGATCGAACCCGTGCCCCCGGCAGTGGAAGCACAGAGTGTAACCACTGGACCTCCAGGGAAGTCCCTTTCCTACCTTTTTAATTCAGAGCTCTTCGGCAGTGATTCCTAACCCTGGTCACCAATCCAGAATCAGCTGTCACTTTAAAAACCCCGGTTGCCAAGGCCTCAACCCTGCAGATATGGACTAATTAGACTTCCCTGGACCCCAGGTGCTTTTATGCTTGGGAAGCATCACAGGTGATTCTGATAAACATACAGTCACAGCTGAGAACTACTTCTTCATAGAACTTCCATGCCTACTAGTAAGGTGGCTTTTACATTGTCCTCAACACACTGAGTTCTGTGGTTTCATAAAGTCTGTAGAATCTTCTGCAATGATAGTTTACAGGCTTTTACGCTTTCTGAGTTAATGTATTATAACTTTGGTGTATTCCTCGTGTTGTGAAGCTCAACTCTGATGGAGATACAGAAAAATACATTTTTTTCTGTGTAATTAACCTTTCTTTTAATTACCGTAAACACATCAGTTCCTTAAAAGTTCGCTCACAGGCTCAGCTTCTCAGCTATTCAGTCATTACACTGCTTTTCCCTGAACCTTTAAAACAATTATCCACATTCTCTTAGGCTATTAAACACTAAATTGACATAGTAATCTACTACAAATCAGAGTGGAACTGCCTTGAGAGATTTACAGGGCACTTTCATGTCCTCCTCCTTTCAGCCCTCTTGTTTGCTGCATTGCCCAATAGGCTGTTGGCTAGTTACCTGATTCCGCAACCTCCTTGTTGTGTGTAACTGATTGGCCATTTACAGACAAGTG